TCCAGATGGAAGGTGGCCCTGACTCAGCTGGCTCCATCCGGAGGAAGGAGCTCGGGCTGGGCCTGTTGTCTGATGCTTTGTCGGAGGTGATTTGAATGTTCCCCACAAAGCCCGTCTGTCCATAGTCAGACCCCTCGGGTATCGAAGAGAGGAGTGGGCCTGAGTTGGAGGCATAAAGACTCAGTTGGCCCCGTGAGACAGGAATTCAGAGGAGAACTTGGGAGATCTGGGGGAGGTGGAAGCTTTGAAATCGCTGGACCGGAAGTTTCAGGAGAGACGCTGGTTAGGCCGCACTTGCACCAGAACCTGTGATGAGTACAGCAAATTGGTGCTCAGAATGTCTTCATTTTCTCATTTAATGAAGCCTTTTAGATAAGGTTCTTGAGGATAATTTCGCAGAGGAAAACATTCAGTACTCCTTCCCTACTGCCGCGCAAGTCTCGCTCCGTTCCCTGGCCTGGCGCTGGCGTTGGCGAATTCTTTTCAGAAGCTTGTGAGGAGCTCTTCTCACTGCTCTGTCCTTGCCAGATCTCCAAGGCCCTTGCTGGAGCTCAGCTATGCTTTGGACGCCAGATAACTTGCAGAAAGCCACTTCGGGGGACTCTGGGTAAAACATTTCCTGCGCACTTGTCACGAGTGAGCAGTCCTTGCCTGGCACAGACACTGCTTCCTTTTCCATAGGGAATCCAACGCCACACTCTGGAACTTGGGAAGATGCCTCAGCCTGGACCGTGTGGCTTACAAATGGCCTGGACTGTAAGAGCTGGTGACAGGTTGACCTATCTGCTCCCAGGAAGTCCTAGGGTTACAGTAGGAAAAAAATTAAATTTGCAACTTATGATCAAACTGAATTTTCTTTTCTTTGTTTCTTTCTTTTTTATTTTGAGGCAGGGTCTTGCTTTGTAGTTCAGGCTGGCCTTGAACTCACTATGTAGCCCAAGCTGGTGTCAAATTCATGTTGATCCTCCTGCCGCAGCCTCCCGAGTGCTGGGATAACAGGCATGCGTCACCAGCTTCCAAACTGGATTTTCTAAGCCTTTCTAAAATGAGTAGCTGTAATATTTAATTGATTTTAAAATTACAAATACCTTTGAAGGAGGGTTATGTTAGTTGGAGAATGGCATTGTGTTAAAAAAATGACAGAAAACTTCATGGACACAGCCTCTCTAAGAGGAGAACTTGGAAGCTTCCCCGGGATGCAAGACCCAGGGCAGGTCCAGAGGAGGCCCTGGGTGGGGACACTGTGTGCTCTTGGTCTAGGGTAGTTGGTGGGGCTCTGCTTTCGAGAGAAATTCTCAGGAAGGAGGGCGGAGTGGAAACCACACAGTGCCAGCCTTGGAAGAGCTTCAATCCCAGGGTCAGGAAGGCCTCAGCAGCAAGGACCAGGCAATGTGCAGGCTGCCGAGTCTCAGCCCGGCCCTGCAGAGAACACCACGGCCGGGCGGCTGCCCTGGAACGTGGCTGCTGTGACCCCACCTGCGGATTCAGGGCTCCTCCACGGGGTGGGGCCTGGGCTTCTCAGCTGCACTGAAGATCTCCCGAGTGAGTGCGTGGCAGCAGGGAGGGACAGCCCCTGGCCTCGGGACCCGCAGGCCCAAGGTCAGACTGGGTGCTTTGGAGAGGGGTGTTATGTCACGTGTCTGTCTGTCCCTCCGTCCGTCGGGCATGAGTTGCCGTAGCACACTTTACCACGTGCCTGGCCCCAGCAGGGACTTGAGCTTGGGCGGAGGGGCAGGCGAGGTTGACCGAGATGGTGACCTGGAGCTGGGGCAATGCTATGCCACGTGCTCAGGCCCCATGTGGTGGGGTGCTGGGGTGGGGGGCATTGCCAGGCACGTGTGTGTGAGGCTGGCAGGGGCACAGGGACTCTAGGACAAGGGCCACGCAAACAGTGTTCAGACCCGGCCACTGTGCTGTCACGTTCCGGCTGTGTGGTGGGCAGGAGCGCAGGCCGCGTGGCCTCACAGCCAACCCCGCAGAGGAGGCACAGTGCTGCCGGTGCAGGCAGGTTTGGCCCCGTTTTCAGCTTGGCTTGGGAGTGGAGTGTTTGAGATAAAACGAGAAGAGCGTGTACTTGGAGTACCAGGAGGAGGACTTGGCAGGCCGGCGCAGCAGATTGCACTGAGGGAGGGTGTGCCACATGAAGGTTAGTGCTGCAGGGTCCTCACCACAGAGGACAGACAGCTCCTGAGGGGGCCGTGAGCCACACAGGGTCTTGGTTTCCTCCAGGAGAGAGCCCTGGAGGCCACAGCAGACCCATCAACCTGCCCCTAGCTCTCCAGGGGCCTTCAGCTCTGTCCCCTGCAGTGTGAGGCCAACCCTCACTGGTGCCATACGTCAGTGCAACCAGGTGCTCAGGTGAGTGGGGTGCACCCCGCGCGATCCCTGACCTCACACCATACGCTGTGCAGCCTGGTTTGCCATTGACCTTCCTTGCTCTGAACCTTAGCTGTTTGGCTTCTCAGTCCAGAACGTTCATTCAAGTGCGTTCAGAGGTTCACATTCAATGATAAACCCATGTTTGTGGAGAAGTTCCGCAGGGAGGAGAGGGAGGCTGCCAGTAGGGCCTCAGACTAACCACCCCTTGTTGGGCAGCTTCAGCTCAAAGTGGGGTGAACAGTAGAACCACACAGAGGCCTGCGGCGCGGAGGCGCACCGTGTGTGTTAACAGACTGACACACCATGCATGTTAATAGACTGAGTCCTGCCAGTCTAAGGAACAGAGGTGGGGCAGGGGAAAGCACAGGTGGGTTGACCTGTCCCTTTCCCACCCCAGGCATGGAGGAGACGGGCTCAGCTTAGAGACCCACAGTCACCATAGCCACATTTCCTTGGCTGTGGAGTTAGGCACATCCTGGAGATTCATTCTCAGTGAAAAACCGGAATACAAACTGGCTTGCTCTCATTCCGAAGGCCTCAGTCCCACTGCGCTCCTGGAGTTTCTTTCCTTGGGTGTCTCTCCCTCTTCACCACTCAGACATTTAATATTATACTGGGCGTCTTTTAAGTTACTGCTAGCCCATGATGCATTAGATTTACGTTTCCGTGCCTTCCGTATGCGAGGCCTCACTGGTCTCCACCGGTGCTGGCTATGCTCAAGAAGGGGAAGAGGCGGGGGCGGGCGGGGCCGTCCCCCCAGGTCTGGCCACAGCGCACTGCGGTCCCTGTCCTGTGTCAGCCGGTTCCCCAGAGGTGGGGAACCAGTGAGGGTGTCTTGGTCACTTCCCGACACCCTCAGCGTAAGGACAGGGAGGTTGATTCTATTCACACTCTTAGTCCGTGGTCTGTGGGCTCCGTGGCAGGCAGCAGGGCAGAGGAGAGGCTGCTGGGCTGTGGTGGGCGGGGAGAAGCCTCGAGGAAGGGACACTTGTCCAGGCCACACCCCAATGCACACACCTCTGCTTCGGACCCGGCTCCACCTCCAACACCAAGCCGGATACGGCACCCTGTCCACTTCCACAAGCCGGCCTTTGGCACCTGAGGCTTTGGGGGACGCCCAGACGAGAGCGAAGCCGGGTGTGTGCACAGGGCTAGCGTGCGCGAGGGCCTGGGTGATGGAGCAGGCCGTGGGCCCTGTACACTCAGCAGAGCGGGTCAGCGCCCTGGGCCCCCGCAGAGCCGGGTGTGAGCCCCGCCTGGTCCCGAGGCCTGAGCAGGAGGAGAGGCGCCCCCAGTTCCCGTGCAGGTGCCCGCAGCTGCAGAACAGGCCGAGTAGGTGTTGCGGCCGGGGCCCTCCTTGGGAGGGAGAGCAGCCGGTTCCTCTTCAAAGGCCAGCAGCAGGGGCCCGCCACTGGCCAGCACTGCGTTCTCTCTGAGGCCCGTACCCGTGGGGGCTCCTGCTCCGCGCACTGTGCTGCTGTGCTTTCTCACCCCAAACCTGCAGACACCCGCGGAGCTGCCTCTGCTGCCACAGGCCCGGGCACTGGGAGTCCCTGCGCCTCGGGCAGGTTGGCTCCGGCACGTGGTCGGCAGGCTGTGTGCTGAGCGGGTGCAGACCCCACTGCTACATTCAGGGGCAGTGCCAGGTGGGCCGAGCGCCAGGCAGCCCCCTGTGTCAGCCCGGGTTCCCCGCAGCGTGGACCGGGCACGCCCGTTCTGCAGCACACGCTGTGAGAGCCGGTGCTGTGGACACAGCTGCTCACCAGGCCGCGAATCTGGTGTGGACCTGCACGAGGGCTGCTGGGCGTGAGCAGACCCTGGGGGGCCCTGCTCCTCCCTGTCCCCGCTCCGTCCCCTCAGCCCTGGGGACCAGACAGGCCTCAGCTGGAGGCCAGGGTCCAGCAAGATCCAGTCCAGGATCAGAAGCCCAGGTCTGCGTGGGTCTGCGTGGGTCTCTGGCATGAGGTGTGCGAGCCTCGGGGTCCTTTGGCCCTGACGTCCCCGTGCGGTGTTGGGGACCACAGCCGGGCCACCTGCAGCGAGGCCCCGGAAGGCTAGCGTCGAGAGGACAAGAAGGTGCAGGGCGCGTGCAAAGTGAGGCACCTGAAAACGACTTCCCAGCAGTGCCAGCTCGCCAGGGCGGCCCTTCGCTGGCGCGGTCCTTCCCCCGCGCAGTCCAGCACTGGCTCCGGGCACTGCCGAGGCTGTCCATTACTTTCTGTGACTTCTCCGGTGACGAATCGGAGCCTCACGGTGTGGAAACACTGCGGTCGTTGGCCAGAGTCTAGTGACAGCCCTTCAGGGTTGGAAGGGGGAGGAAGGACACAGGATGGTGACGGGCTCCCTTACATAAGTGCACAGTAGAGAGAGGGGTTTTGAAGGATGCATAGGGGTTCACACAGAACATGCACAATAAACTCAGTCATTCTTATGTTTTCTTTTGTTGCTCTTCTCCCTCTTCGGCTCTCATATACCCTTCTTCCCTCCCCCTCCCGAGGCTCCTCCTCCCTCCCTCCCTATTCAGAACGCTGACCATGCACCGGAACCTGCAGCATGGTGTGACCAGCGCCAGTCAGCAGCAGTGTGCTTTGGCACCTAACTCTCCGCTTCTCTCTCCACAGATGGGAAGCCCGTGTCCCTGTCCCCGCTGGAGTCCCAGGCCCACAGCCCGCGGTCCCCGGCCTCCAGCCCCCGGGAGCGTGAAGGTCTGGAGGCCCGGGTGCGTGAGGTGGAGGAGGAGAACCGGGCCCTGCGCCGCCAGCTCAGCCTGGCCCGGGGCCGCCCGCCCGCCCCACGCCGCGGCAACCACTCAGGCACCTACTCAGTGGAGGAGGGCACGGGCGACAGCGAGAGCCTGCGTGCCGGCATCGTGGCGGGCAACAGCTCCGAGTGTGGGCAGCAGCCAGCCGTGGAGAAGTGTGAGGTAAGGATGCTCGGTCGGCAGGCCGCCTGGGCGCTGGCCGTGGCAGGCCCGGCTCTCGGCGCGCATGTGCGGCAGTCTGCACGTCCCTAGTTGGAGTCGGCACCTCCTGCCTTCGCTGCTGTGCTGGAGACCCACGTCCTGCCGAGGAAGCTCTGGGGGCCGCTCTGAACGGCCTGAGGGTGGCGCTGAGCAGCCTGGGCCGGACATAGGCTCCCGCCCAGGAGCAGTGCTGGGACCTGGCAGGAGGGTCAGCAAGGTCCCCTGCCCTTGCCTGAGCTGGGGGAGGCGAAGGCGGGTGTCCAGGGAGTACATGGCAGGCAGGAGGGAACTCACTCAACAAAGGAGTGCTGCGCCCGGGCGGAGGTCTCACGCTGCTCCAGAGCGCCCCTTTCCCCGGCCCTGCCCTCTGCGGTGGGGGAGGGGTAACAGATGGGAGACGCCAGTGTTGGGGGCCGTGCCTGCTGCAGGGTTTTGTTTTTTAGTACTGAGCGTTGAGCACATTGAGCTACATTCCAAGCCCTTTTTAAAATTTTTTTGAGACAGTCTCCCTAAGTTGCCCAGGCTAGGCTTGAACTTTTAATCGTGCCTCAGCCTCCAGAGTGCTGGGATTTCAGGTGTGCTCGCCACGCCAGCCTGAGGCACCGTGTGCTGGGCCACTGCTCCCTCCACGCACACCCGTGGCCACTGGTTGTGCGGCAGCCCTGGAGGGGGCCCTGCAGTCCTGTCACACCCCGTGCATCTGGCTGGCCGGGGAAGGCCCAGGTGGAAGCGCTGACCACGCCGAGTGTGGAAGGTTGGGTCTCCGGGCGCCTCTGCCGTCACATGGCTGCCCCGTGTCGTTTCCAGGGACCCCGCTGGCAGCGCAGTGGCCCAGGGTGGGGGGTGTGCCCGTGCACTTGGGTGATGGTGACGTGGCCTGCCATAGGGGGTAGGAAACAAAGGTCAGGGCGCCGGTGCAGGGCAGGCGCCAAGCCGTGCTGTGGAACTCCCGCACTGCCCCTGCCCTCCCTGGGCTCCCGGCGGCCGAGTCTGTCTGGGAAGGCACCGTGCCGGGCCTTGGCAGCGCTCTGCGGGCAGAAGTCCCGCGGCCTCGAAGCGGGAGCCTGGGTCTCACCGGCCGGCTCTTGGTTTATGATTCTGGGCTTTGAGCGCACAAGGTTTGCACACAGGTTATAGCCAGACGCGTGGCTCCCGCTTTCCTCCCTGCCGGGTGGGGGAAACCCAGGTCCAGCCCCTGGGGTCCCCGTCCCGTGTCGGGGCTGGAGAGACCTCTTGGGCGGCTGCTCTCAGGGCTGCATCTCACGGCGTCCCCAGGCTCCAGACGAGCAGGCCATGGGAGACTTGCTCCCCACTTCTGTGTCCAGGGTCAGGGCTGTGGCAGGTGGCCGTCCGCGGGGTGTCTCTGGTCAGGGGGGCCACAGAGCCAGAACGATGGCACGCGCATTACAGCCGCAGGCTGCTGGGGACAGGCCGCCTCCCTGAGACTGTGCCCGCCGTCCCTCACTGTGGGACCTGCCAACCGCACGGGCAGCGCCGGGAGCAGGCCGCCCTCGCCCTCACCTCCCTGCGGGGACCTGGGAAGCAGGTTTCACTCACGGAAGCGAGTTCCGCATGACGTCTCCGATGCTGCTGCTTGGTCACCGGGAATGCTCCCTGTCCGGCCGAGGCGTCTGAGCTGCTCATGCTCAGGGTCACCGCGTATCCAGGCCGCCTGCCCGTGGGAGCCACCCAGCCTCCCCGGGTGCGGTGTGGAAGACTAGGGGACTCCAAGGCCCAGGCCCGGCCAGCCCGAGTGAGGAGGGTGTGGTGCAGGCCTGGCTTCTTTTGCTTCTGTGCTTCTGGAATGGCGGAGTAGCCTGGCAGGAGTTGAGGCCGAGACTTCATGGCTGCTTCCTGCACAGCATTCCCCGTGTTCTGACCTGCACTGAGCACAGTCTTTCACCCGCTTATTTTCCTTCTCTTTTTCTGCGCTTCTCGTGCCCTGTGGCACTGTCTGGCGGAGCCCTGCTGTGAGGAGCCCGGCTCCCTGGTGTGTGTGTGTACATGCTGACTCGACTCACTGGCCCCAGGACATTGGCGCTGACCGCTGCCTATCCATGGCGCACCCCCTGCTCCTGTGCAGTGAAGTCTGAGCACAGAGCGCTGGAGTCACAGAGCGAGAACACATTTTGCCTGCTCTGCTCGGGCGCGGTGTCCGGCTGCTGCGGTGTGGGCCGCTGGCCCAGGGCACACTGCCCTCTGTGGCAGCCTTGAAGCCTGTCTGAGTCGGAACACGTGTTTCTGAACACATAATGGCCTCCGGGTGACGGGAAGACGGGCCTCGCCCGTCCCTGCTCCCTCTCCCCGTGTCCGGCCACGTGGCCGTCCAGCACCAGCCTCGTCCTCCTGGCGAGTTTCCGTCGTCGTCTGGGTGGTGGCTCCACGGTGCCGTCTGGCTCTGTGTGCCGGGAACCCTCAGCCGGGACCCCGTGGGTTTCCCTGCCTGCGGTGTGAACGCAGATGTGCTCCTTCCTCTCCCCTGTCCAGCCCTGCCACAGAGGGATGTTTTCAGGACTGCAGCGGGATGCCTGACCAGGCCTCCGCGGCCACACGGCCTTGGGCCGGTCCCCTTCCCCCGGGGACACTGCGTCCTCCCTAAATGAGGGGGACAGCCAGCTCTTTTCGGAGAGTGCTGCCCCGGGAGTGTCAGGTGTGCTTGTCACTGACGTTCTCTGCCCTGTGCTGCCCAGGAGAGCAGTCTGACTTCATGGCTTCCAGCTGGAGCGATGGTGCCGGTACCCATCTTCCAGGCTCTTCCAGCAGCGCTCGCCCCTTCCCTGCACCCGCCCCGCCCAGCCCCTCGTCCCTGCCTGTTGTCAGGGGAATCAGGGCGCCTGCAGGAGCGAGGCCCGCCCCACCCCAACAAGTGCACGGTGGATGGGGCTCTGATTTCCGCTTTTCCTAGGTAATGGGCTCTGCGGCTCCGGCTCCAGATGATGAATTTACTCATGGCGGCAGGTGTATGGATGGAACTGGAGCGCGTGGAGAGTTATGTGAAACGTTTGAGGATGTGCGCGCCCGTGCTTACATTAGTGGGCCCATTTTAGAAAGCCCCTGAGCCCTGAAGCCAAGACAGAGCTGCTTTCTCGGAGGCCACGTGTTTAAATACTTGTGATTCAGAGAGCCTGGTTCTGCCTGTTTCCCGCCCTGCCCTCCCTGGCCGTCCCCGGGGAAGGCACACGCCTGCTCACTCCCTTCTGATGGAGGTGGCGGTCGCTTGCCCGACTCCTCCTGGAGACGTGGCCCAGAGACGACACCTTTGTTTCCTCTCACAGGTGAGGCCCAGATACGTGTGAGCCTGCGGGACCTGCGGACCCGACTCCAAGCCGTTTCCTTGCCCTTTTTCCTGAACAGCCCCCTGGCGGGTGTGCCGAGCCCTGGGCGGGGGAAGTTCCTTCCTGGGGCTGCCTTGTGCCCCAGAGTCTACCCTCCACAGCACCCAGCAGAACCCGGTCACCAGCGGCAACACAGCCCCGACCTGGCCAGCGTCCCGCGGGCGGCTCAGGCCGGAGGGCGAGCGCAGTGGCCCTGCTGAGACCAGCGCCGGCCAGCAGGGGGCTCAAGGGCTCACTGGTGGGCCATGGTGCTGGCACAGGGCGACGGACCCCAAGGTCGCGGTTCCACCCCAGGGCTCAGTCCCAATGGCCCACGTTTCCTGCTGGGCCACAGGGAGAGGACCTGCACCTGACTCTCTCGGGGCTGGGCGCCTCCAGTCTCTCCATCCATGGAAAGCGCTGAGCACAGCACCCAGGGTGCTGCCCTTCCCGGTTCTGTCCTGCCCAGTGTCTCCACCCGCTGTCCTCCCAGCTGCTGTGGTCCGAGTGGAGGCACAGCCTGCTTTGGGATGGGTGTGGATGGAGCCTAAGAGGGGTGCCCTGGTGAGCAGCAGGGAGGGGAGCCGCCTGGAAACCCTAGCTCGGCCAGCTGTGGCTTCAGGACTCTGAGGCCCTGGGTGAAGCTGATCTCCAGCACCTGCCTGGTGTGGGGTGTCCAGTGCCCACCTGGTGTGGGGTGGCTGTGGGGCAGGAGGGATGCTGGGACCAGAGGTCAGGAGAGTGGACCGGGGCTGTATCCTGGGACATATCTTGTATCCCACAGTCAGGAGCAGGTGGGATAGGAGGTCTGGCGCCTGAGGTCACTGTCAGCCAAGCCTGCAGAGCAGTAATCGGGTCAGAAGTGCGTTCTGCAGTGGCTGACAGGGTAGAGGGAGGTGGGAAGCCACGCTCAGGAGCGACCCTAGGACCGAGTGCCAGAGGGAGCAGCCAGGTCAGCGTGGCCGGTGACCACGAGGGACAGAAATGCAGTGCTCCCTGACAGAGGGATGGACTGCCGGGCCGGGAGGCATCCTGTCTGGATCCCAGGGCGGCACTGGCCAGCTTTGGTACTCTAGGGCACAGGCGCTGCATGGGACGTTCCTCGTGGCCAAGGGTCGCCAGCCACAGCGCCAGCCCCGCCTGGGAGCCCTGAGGTGGTGCAGAGACCAGGCCCCGATCTGGGACGCTGTGCTTCTGCAGCGGTTTCCGCTGTGGCTGGCGTGGCCCTGACGTGGGTCCCTCCCTCCGCCCACCACCCTGCGGGCCACATCCTCACCTGCAGTGAGTCCCCCACCTGTGGCTTTCCCTGCCTCGCTGGTATGAAACAGGCCAGGGTTCAGGCTGCAGGACGGCGTCCCCAGGGGCCCCCTGTGGGCCCAGCCCCGGCGACACCTCCCGAGAGCACTTCAGACCAAGCCGGGGCAGCCGGTCGTCCTTCTAGGGTGAATTTCCTCCCCTCTCTCCCCGTTGTCCGTCTCCGCTGGGGGCGGGGGACTCGCTCTTTGCCTGTTGGAAACAATCACCGTTTCCCCTGTCCCCACCATGTAATTGAAAAGAGCCTCAATGGCTTCCAAATGATGACAGCTCCATAAACCGATTAAGAAGGCTTTAATAAAACTGTCTCGAGTTCTCCACAGCGGCAGGCACTGCCCTTCGTGCTCTCGTGATGCCAGAGAGGCACGGGCGTGGTTTTTCTTCCGGAGGGTCTGTGCCCGGGAAGGCCTCCTTCCATCTGTCTGACGCGGTGCCCCTCTCCTCACAGACGATCCACGTCGCCATTGTCTGCGCCGGGTACAACGCCAGCAGGGACGTGGTCACCTTGGTCAAATCCGTCCTCTTCCACAGGTAAGAGCAGCTTTGCGCACAGCGGGCGCGTGTCCTCGGGGAGGAAGGGGAAGGGTGAGGTCATGCGCCCCTCGCTGAGGCTCCAGGGAACTTGGCGTCTGGGTCCTGATCCCTGGGAACGATGGAGTTAATGGTGGTCAGCAGCAGTTCCCGGCCCCGCTACGCCAAGTTTGGGGGTGAGGCGCACAGACCCAAAGGGACCTTCGGGGATGCCAGGTTCGTGCCCCAGCTTCTCCATCAGCTCGCGGCCCCTTCTGGGTGTGCTGTGGGCTGGCAAGGCACTGCCTTCTGCTCCCTGGAGCTCATGTTTTGAAGCTGGAACCGACGGTGCCTCAGAACACGACTGAGGGGAGATGGGTAAGACTCTCGAAGGCGCAGTCCAGGGAGAGTGGGGCCACCGGGTGAGCTCTAATCCAGTATGACTGGTGTCTCACCAAGAGATCAGGACACAGCCATGCACGGGAGAGGACACCGTGAGCACATCTCAAGCCAAGCACAGAGCCCTGGACACGGCGGCGGGTCTGCTGGGTCTTGGCTGGTTGCTTTCTCTCTGCACTGTTCCCTGTGGCGCCTCTGGGCATTTCTGTGCACTGCAAAGCCCTGCCTTGTCCTGTCTGAAATGCACGGTACCCACAGTGCTGGCCCCTTGGGCACTGCCCCGCCTCTAGGTGAGACTCCCACCTTTCGTCCACGATCTCGCGGACTCTCCCTGGCCCTGCTCTTGTGGGTGGCGGTGCGATACTGTCAGGTCTGTGGGTCCAGCTGTGCTCCTGGGCTGCTCTGACTTCTCAAGGAGGACTTGGGTGAACCCGGGCCCGTCTGTGGGCAGCGGGCCAGCACTGTGCTGAGTGGCCAGGCCAGGACCAGAGGTTCTGTGTGGAGGGAGCCATCTGAGATCTCTCGGGCCACATGGACAGAGATCAGGGGAAGTGTCCATGTGGGTCCAGCTGTCAGAGGGTCGCCAGAGGTGGGGGCCCCATGCACACTGTGACCCAGCACCTCAGGAAGCTGGAGTCCCCGGGCCCCTCCCCTGGCCCCATCAGCACGTGTGGTTGCCGTAGCTGCCTCTCCACGCCCCCACTTTCCTCCCAGACCTCGTGGCCCAAGTCCTCTGTCCTCTCAGGCATCATCCCTCCTGCCTCTCCGTCCCACTCGTCAGAGCCGTGTTCGACCCTCTTCCCAGCAGTCTCTCAGCAGCCGGGTCTGAGCTCTCAGCGCCGCCCCTGTCATGGCGCGGGAGTCGATTCTTCGCCGTGGCTCCTGCGCTGTGGTCGCCATCCTTCTCTGCGTCTCCTGTCCTTGTGTTGACGTCACTCTGCGCCTGTCCACCCCGCTGGGGCCCCCCTCTCTGAGCTGTGTTGGACGGTTGGGTCTTGTCCTGCTGGCCCCTTGACCCACTTCCTCCTGCTCCGCACCCAAAACGACCCCATCCTCACCTGCCCGGACGTGGAGTTGGGGCCTCTGTCTGTTCTACATGACGAGCCTGTGGTGTAGGATGCAGGGGACACAGACTACCTTGTCCTTCTGTGTTCCTGGGGTCTTAGAACCCCCTGCCCTGAAATGCCCGATACATACTGATGTGCAGTAGTAATAAACTTATTGCAGGTGAACATGGGGCAGCTTGTCAAGGACTAGAAAGAAGAGTGGTTTGCTCGGTTGAGTAATCTCTGCCCCGCCCAGCCGGGGCTCAGTGTCCTGTCCTGCCTCAGTGCGGCTGAGTGACTATCCTGGTCACTTTTCTCTCGTTGCTGAGACAAAATACCCAGTGCACAAAATGAAGGAAGGAAAGGTTTATTTGTCTCACAGTCTATGGAGGTTTCAGTCCATACTCGGCTGGCTCCAAGGCAGAGTGGTACATGGTAGGGGGCAACAGTTCTTGGCAGCAGAAAAAGCAACAAGAGCAAAAGGGAGGAGGTGCGGCAGGCAGCCTCTTTCCCTCCCTTAGATTGTATGCAAACTGCCCGCCCCAGGGCGGGTGCAGCACTCACACCCATAATCCCAGCTTTGGACCATGAATCAATCATAAACTGCAGAAGCCCGCCCATGACTGCATGAGGCTGTGGGGGACATCCAGACACAAACTATAGTGGTGACACTGGCGCCCCACTCTCTTTGGTCTTTAGTCTGTAGCCCCTGTGCTGTTTATCTCTGGTTGTGCGTCGGGTCACTGCCAACCGTGCCTGGTCCACAGCAGTGAGCACTTCTGATCCCAGAGGCGTGGGACTCCAGCGGGGCCCACACGGGGCTGTGGTCCGCAGGCCAGAGAGCCAGAGGTGGGGTTCACCGCCCTCCCAGGTGGGGTAGACTTGGGAGGAGCTTAGAATCCAAATGCGAAAGGGCTTCCCCAGCGACAGTGCTGTGACGCCTCCTCCCGGCTGAGTTCCATGGCAACATGGACCCGCAGGGGCGGAAGTGGGAGACCACATGTCTGGCCCAGGACGCCCAAGAGGGGTGGGCCCTGAGTCCCAGGCTGGCGGCGACACGGCCTTTCCTTGTGGTGTCACTGCAGGCAGCGTCAGGGACCCCAGGGCTCCACGCTGTCACCTGCCCCTGCTGGAAGCCAGGTGCCCGGCAGCTCAGCACTGAGTTAAGGGGGCCCTTGGCTCACGCTCTCCACTGAAGAGCACCTGGGCCCCCGGCAGAAGCCGTGAAGCCCCTCTTTCCCGGAGGGTATCGCATGGTTGTGGATGTTCAGTGGTGCTGGATCTCAGTGATTCCTTTTAAAGTTGGGAAAACTTCCTGTGCTGCTGACAGTAAATTGTGTTCTGTTGCTTTAGCTACAAATCACATAACCCAGTGGCTGTTGGCACTGCAAGAATCCCAGTGAGGTTAAACTCTCAGCCCCACAGTGACATGGGACAGGAAGACGCTAAGTTATAGAATAACTGCTGGTGGCATGCCGTACTTTCGTGGAGACGGGGGATTTAGGGAGAAAGCCAGCTCCAAGTGTCGGTCACGACAATTCCGCACCCTGGTCAGCGACTCCCTGATCTTCGCAGACCAAGTGAAGCCCCCCTTCGCTGAGAGTGTAAGAAAAAGGGTGACCCTTTGAGTCAGTGCGCTAGTGCCCAGTCCAGACGGCAAGGCAAGGGGACGCTTGAAACTCTGCGCTCAGAAGGCACCGCTGTGAGGAGCCCACTGCCTCGAAGTGCGCGGCCGGTTCGCTGAGGTGTGACTGTGAAAGGCGTCCACAAAGCGCCTTCCCGATGTTTATGGTAATAGCAGCACGGGCTGCCGCGTTGGCCTCACTGTTAACTGCAGTGACTCCATTTATTTTCCCGAAAAGATTTCCAGCAAGTTCCCTTTAAGGCTTGCGTTGCTGTTACCTCCACTTGGTGTTCCTTCTGCAGCATCGCGGTGGTGGGGAAGGCCCTGCTCTCACGCTCACAGGAGAGTGCTGGGCACACTCGCACTCACTGAGCCTCGTGGAGAGAAAAAGAGTAGCCCGTGCCGGCACCTCAGCCCCATGTGACTGCTTTAGGGACTCTGTCCTAAATCGAGGGCCCAAACTATAGAGAAAGCCTTTCGGAACTGTCCTCTCTACTCATGAAAGTGGATGATACGTAAGAACAATGGGACAGCCTCTGACAGTAAGCCCTGCACTCCAGGCTGCAGAGATAAGTGGGCATGACAGCCGTGGTTTCAAGATCGAGTCGGGAAGGTAAAATACAGCCTGGAACGCGCAGCCCGCACGCAGGGGCTCACGCGGGCATTGACCCGGCACAGGGTCAGCAGGTCGGCGCAGGGAGGGGAAGGCTAGCCAGAAATACCTAGGAAAAGCAAGCCTGGCGAGCTGTGTTTGGGAGAATACAGGCAACTGCTTTTGTGTCCTCTGCTACAAGTAGTTTTGACCCTGTTACACAACCTCTGTGGCGAAGAAAGGCAGATGAGAAGATCTGTGCAGAGTGGAAGTGAGGAGCGTTCACTGCTTGGTAGTGTCATGTGTCCCCCGCTGCCTGGATGGAAGGAGACTCAGAGAAAAGGGGAGAGTGGCCACGCCTCCAGTCCCAGGTGCAGATCACTGGGAAACATGGCTGCTGTTCAGGGAAGCCCAGCGCTTGGCGAGCGGAGAAGTGTATTTATTTATAACCAGGTGTTTAGTATCTGTGTGCCAGGGTGACCCACAGTGACCGACCGTCTCACTCTGTATTCCTGTTGGCAGGAAGACCCGTCACTCACGTTCATTTGCCCATCGAGCAGGGTTTTTGTTTTTGACACGGAGAACTTCAGCCAATGAGCTCCTGGTTGTCTCACTGCTTAGTCTGCTTAACCCACAGGCGAGGCACGGTCCAGGCTGCATGGGTGAGAATAGAATCAGCCAAGACAGAGAGGAGGCTGGGCTCTGGCCCGACTCCTGCCCTGGGCCAGCTGGTGACCCACAGGACACTGTGCTCCATGGCACTGTGCCCTGTCCTGCTTGGGCCCTGTTCTGAGAGTGGGCAGACACTGCTCTAACTAACACGTGGCTCCTTCTGCAGCGGGCTCCGCTCCAGGGTCACGTGCTGGGTCCTCCTGTGCCTCCCAAGGTGGGCACTGCTGTCAGCCCCACTTTGCAGACATGCGGCTGTGGCCTGAGGTCACACAGACAGGATGGAAGGTTTGGAGGCAGACAGTCCAACTCCAGCATCTGCGGTCTTCCCCAGGCGGGAGCCACCAGTGTTGGTGTTTTAGTTTTAGTTGTCATCTTGGGTGACAGCGGAGCTGTTATTGTCATTTCCACCATCTCCGCAATCCTCTTCCTCCCTGAGCTGCTGCACGCAGCGTGCGCACAGGTATGAAAGGCTGAGTGTCAGCCCTGCAAGCAGGTGGGTGGTCCAGGTGCTTCCAGGTGCTTTGGTCACACCTGTTGTCAGGTGCAGAGCTTCACAGCTGCCTGGCTGTTGTGTTCCCACGTCTTTCAGCCTGCGACAGCGCACCCCTCGGCCCCACAGAGAGGGGATGTGAAGGTCCCAGAGATGAGCAGCGGCTGTGCCCCAGTGAGGAGGCACTGGCCTGGGGTTCCCTGCTTGGCTCTGCCAACCCCAGGGTCAGCATGGCTTTTGCTGTCCACGAGGCCCGTCGGTTTCTCAAGCAAGTTCCCCGTCCTCCCGTGGAGGCCTCTCCTCACACAGTACCAAGGCCACGTGACCTCCCTCAAGCAGAACATAACCCGAAGGCCTCAGCCCGGCTGCTGTGGTTTCCCGCAGTGAGTGCCATGGATGCTCTAAGTGTGGCCGACTCCCTGAGCACTCGGGCTGCTGGCGCTTTCTTTTCCTGCAATTGCCATTGCATCATATACTTAATTAGCAGTGATCTCAACAGAGACCCCAATGCTGCCCTTCCGATAGGAGCAGAGAGGGGCAGAGAGCAGCGGCTTGGTCTTCTTTGTCTCGTTGCAGCTCTGTATTTATTGCATCATGACCAGAAGAAGGGTGCAGTTAGGGAAATCAAGGCAGCATGGTGTCTGCAGCTATGCTGATGGGGAGCCCTGGTGCCCTCCTGGTGCAGGTGCACCTCCCCGGGGACATGCGTGCAGTCCACAGCGAGCTGGGGTGCTGTAACCCAGTCCCCCGGGAGGACCCAGGCCCAGGCTGCTGCCAAGAAGCCTGCCCCGTGGGGCCGCGGTGCTGCTGGCCCAGTGTGTCTGAGTGCTGGGCCTTGGTCACCGCCCCGGCCCAGCCTCGCCCCAGCTGCAGCTCTGTCTGCCTTCAAGCCCTCCTTGAACCGGAAGCGCTGATCCGGGCAGCCTCTCCCCCGGGCACTTACCTCCTTCCCTGTCCTGAAGCGTCGTCCCTGCTGGTCGTGCTGCTGCTTCTGCCCCTGCTCTCGTGTCTGAGCTCGTTTCTCCTGAAGTCCTCTCCCTGCAGCGTCCTGTGCTCCTCTGCTGCTGCTGTGGCCGCGGGATGTGCAGTGGGCCGTCCCAACGCAAACGTGCTGGCTCACGGTCCTGGCAGGTGGGCATGCGGATCGCAACGCCAGTGTCTGGCAGAGGGCGTTGTGTGTCGCTGTGGGACGAGCAGAGCTGGGAGAGCCAGGGGACAGAGCCAGCCTTGCATGGGAAGCCATCCCGGGACAGATGCCAGCCTGCAGGAACAGCCCCGGTCTACCCAGGGCAGGGGTGCCCCGCAGACCTGACACCCACAGCTGCCACATGGGGCGAGTGGGCTTCAGGAGACCTGGTCAGACCAGAGCACAGGCGTATTCTCATATCACCTCTGTTCCCGTTGTCCTCATCTGCCACCCATCTGTCCTTCCGGTTCATTTATTGAATTCCTTCGCCTTTCCAGCCCGCAGCCGTGAGCGGGGCGGTCTTTACACACAGAAGCGTCGTCCTTTGCTGGGGTGGGGTGCAGTTGAGCCTGGCACTGGGACAGCGATCCTCCTGCCACTGTGTCCCCAGCACCCAGCTGTGGGCCTCACACACGTGCAAGAGGGTTTCCTACGGGTACCAGGTGCTACGTGCAAAAGCCAGGGTGGGGCAAGCACAGGCGGGTGGGGAACCAAGCACATGTGTGAGGAGCACAGCCCAGAGCCAGGCCCACTGCCAGGCGAAGAGGCTGGGTGCCGCCTGTGCCCACAGGAACTGCCTGCGCCCACCAGAGCCTGCTCTGTCCCCTCGGGTGCTCACCGTGCTGCCTGCTGCACCCACTGCCCTTTCTGCTCAGGGGGTCCCTGCCAGGTGCCTCCTGTCCCTTCCCTGTGCCTGACGCCGCCTGGCCCAGCTGTGGACTCCCCTGCGTGCGGCGCATCCTGGCTCTGCACCCGTCACTCCGCTTGTCCTCCAGGACTGCCTCTCTCCCTGCCACGTCCTCTGACCCAGGCAGGACTCGGCTGCCCTGCTTCCCTTCGCAGGAGTCGTGTCCTTTCAGCTGCATCACATTTGCCTCGGTTTCATGTTCTGTGAGCACTGCCGAGGGCGGCTTGTCCCCCCACCCCGGGTCTCCAGCTGTTCCAGCTGCTGCGCCTCGTAGAGCAGCCGTGTTTATGGCAGCGCTCATCCACGCCTGGTGGGCCCTCGGCAAGGCGAGCTGCCGTTTCCTGCTCTGTTTATTCCCCATGCGTGGCACAATAAGCTTGTGGCCTCATGTCGTCAGTGCAGTAGCCTCATAGGAGGCTTCCTGACACTGTAGAACTGAGTGGCAGCAGTGCAGAGGTATCGGTGACATACTCTGGGACAGGTGCGAGACAGTGCTGCGCCTGGAAACCGGGCCCCGCGTCCTGCTGGAGCGTATGGGCGGCAGTCTCCCTGCCAGGCTGCAGGGTCCTGGATGAATAGACACTGCCGGAAGCCCAGAAGTGGGGGCATGCCGATGCTCAGGGCCAAAGCCTGGGTCTCTGTGGGGAAGACCATGCTGGAGGCGTACATCACCCCAGTGTTGGGATAGGTGCCTGCCAGCTACCAGAAGATGGCCTGTGTCCGTGTGACCTGCGTAGGGGTGGAGGGTGGATTGGGCACCCCAGCGATGTCACCTGCCAAGGGTGGGTGAGGTATGTTCCTTTCTCTGTGCTCTGACGTCCTCACCAGCCCGCAATGCTGGGCCACATCCCTGCCCGCCTTTCACAGTGGCTGTGGGAGGCAAGTGCTGCCTGGGGCGTGGGGACAGGCAGATGCGAGGCTCAACTCAAAGCCCTGAGCGCCACGGCCTTCTCTCCTCCCCACAGACGGAACCCCCTGCACTTCCACCTCATCGCCGACTCCATCGCAGAGCAGATCCTGGCCACACTCTTCCACACCTGGATGGTGCCTGCTGTGCGCGTGGACTTCTACAATGCGGACGAGCTCAAGGTAGGGCAGCTGGGGCTGGAGGGCTGGTGGGGGCCACACGGGGCTGCTCTGACTTCCTTCCCCGGGGCTGAGCAGGCTGGTGGTGGCGGAAGCCCCAGCTCCTAACTGCAGGCGTCTGGCACTTAACAGGGTGTCTGATGTGGTCATCAGAGGTGATAACGAGACCTCTCTGGGCATGCGTCCATGCTGCTCCAGGCCGCCCTGCCAGCAGGAGGCTCTTTGTAGACACTGAGGCCCTGGGTTCCCGGTGTCTCAATGTGGCCGTGGTCGAAGTCCAGAGGTTCCCTCACCCAGGGAAGTGTGTGCTGGCTGGAACGCGGTCTGGCGGGCCTGGGGTGGAACTGGGGTGTTCTCATTACTGATCGCAAGACTCTAAGTGAACTCTGTCTGTGAGCCCTGTTTACTCATTAGTAGTGATTAGAATTCTCACTCATGGGTAATTAAGAGGCTCAAGTGAAAGAATGTGTGTGAGCGTGCATAACGAGCTGATGCCGAATACATACTAAAGGGTTTCCCCAAAGGAACCAATTCCTCCTGTGCTCGCCGCCTTGGCTGTGTCTGGGCCGGGTCCTGGCTCACCCAGAAGGCCTGTCCGTGCCGGCTCTGGACTTGGGTTCCACGCTCACCGCTCGCTGTGCCGCACGTTTCCCTGTCGCTTGGCTCTCGGTGGCCCCTCTCTCTGGGTGAGCCTGCACAGGCTGGGCCTTCTCGCCCTGTCCTGCGTCTTACCTGCCCTTCCTGATGGGTGTGTTCCCACCTCCTCTGGGGATAGTCCTGCTTCTCCAGGAAAGAGGAAATGTCTGTTGCCTTGACCATCCACTGGAAGCTTCCTCGGGAGGTGGGGAAGGGGGCGTGTCTCACTCTTTCCTGCACTGCTGGTGCACAGTAGGTGCTGGTACTGCGTGTGGGCACAGCACAACCCCATGCTCCTGGTAGAGAAGGCACCACTGTGCACACGTGCCCCTGCCCGGGGTCTGCAGTCCCCTTGGGAGGGACCGGGCACAAGGCTGATTCAGGCAGACCGGATGCTCCAGACCCCATCCGCCCATTATCTTTTCATTTCAGAGCCGTCACATTTTAACTGGCTGGTGGAGACACTGGCCCGAGCTTCTGGTTTCCTATTTTTCCGGCTCCAAGGTTGATCGAGATGTTCAGAATTTAGCATTTGGGGACTGGCGTGGTAATTTGCTTGCCATTCCAATCTATTCTGAGCTGAAATTGATTAACACTCTTAAAAAGGGAAAAACAAAATTTAGCAAATTGCTGCACTAATTAAGGTAGAAAGCAAGCCACTCCGTCTCCCAGGGTCTCGGTGCCAACAGGAGGGGAGGAGCCGCTGCTGACCTCATGTGACGTCTGTCACTCCGCTTTCCCCTGCCATGCCCTGCACCTGTATGTATCAAGAGCACAAAGTCCTAGCAAGACCCTGACTTAAACAAGCAAAAACAAAGCACAGAACCACTGGAAAAACAGCCAGCTCCACATCCTGGCTGCCAGTGAGTTATCCAGCGAGTCTAAGCCTCAAGCAGGGACAGTGCTAGCTGGTGACAAACACCTGGAATGAGGTGACCATGAAAGCCCAGGGTTTTGTAACGTGGCAGGTTTTGAGGAATTCTCAATTCTTTTGTCCCAGCTTCTCTGAAGGCTGAGAGGATCCCTGGGCCCAGGAGTTGAAGACCAGGCTGGGCAACACCATGAGACTAATCTTCTTAGAAAGGAAAGGAAAAAACATAACTCCACCGTAGCCAGGGTCATGCAGTACTTAAAATTCTCTTGCTGAGCCTCCGGGGTTCATGGTTGTAATCACAGCTACTCTGGAGGCTGAGGCAAGAGGGTCACAAGTTCAAGGCTAGCTTTGGCAACTTAGTGAGACCTTGTCTGCAAATAAGCAATAGAAAGGGCTGGGTAGTGTTGGAGTGTCCACAAGTTCAATTCTCAGTACTTCAGGAAGCGGGTGGTGAGCTCTTCATTGTGTAGCCCATTACTTAATCTTATGCAGCTGGGGTGTGGGCTGAGGGGGTTGGCTGCAGCTGCAGCCACCCCAGGGAGGCTGAGAGCCTCGCAGGGTAAAGGGTAGGGAGGGACTGGGGCTCTGGCTCTGCCCATGTGCAGCAGGTAGACTAGTTGTCCATTGTTACATAGTGGATCCTTCCATCCAAATTAAGTCTCCATGTTGCTGAATCACATGGAACTGTTGCCAGAATCCAGTAGGGCTGTGAGTAAGGCAGCATTTTATAGAACAGAATTTCCCTGTAATAATAATGGTGACAGCAGTGATAAATCATGCATGATCCAGCTCAACGCCTCCACCACTGCGGTCTGCCTGTCCCCCCACCCAGCCGTCTCCTGGCTCATGTTGGAAGAGTTGTCCCTCCAGAACCATCCTTGAGAGGCCCTGTCCCTTGAGGCCTCTGACTGTACTACGTGCCTTCCAGCTAGACCCCGTCCCCCACCATCAGCCCAGTCTGCTCCTAGCCTGTGTGGTCTTTCCCTGCATGGTGGCGACCTGTCTTCCAGACCCGTCTCCCAGCCTCCCTTCAGCCACTGTCCTCCCCAGCACCTCTTGTTGGCCATCACCAAGAGTCAGCTTAGTCAGAAACATGTGCCCTGGCCGCCCTTCTAGGGCAGAGCCTTCCCTGGGCTCCCCTGGGTTAAGCCTGAGACCACAAATGTGCAGGTTATTTCTCCTCAGTTATCCTCCATTCCCAGCCCTTCCTCTGCTGCACTGCTAGTTAATTCCAGGTTCCTCTGCAGCTTCCTTTATGCAGGAACCTGCCCTGCCAGCCCCTCCACAGAGCAGCTCCCGTGTTTCGTGTTCCTCTGGGATCACGTGGGGTTCTTTGGGAAACCTATCCCAGAGGCTGATCTTTCCTGCCCTTGCGAGAGGAACTAATAGATGTGTGACTTTCCTAGACCAGAAGTTCTAAAGCAACTGGGGTCAACTCTGGCTTTTGTCACCCTTGTGTGCCTCATGCCAAGGTGATGCCCGTTCAGTGAAAATGTTTGCAAAGTGAGTGACACACAGTGAGCTCAGAGCCGGGTCCTTAGCAAGGACAAAGCGAGGAGTGCTTGTCACCACCAAGGGTCGCCACATTCCTGAACCACCCTGCCTTGGGCCTGGCTGGACAGCCAGGTGTTTGCCGCCTTGAGCCTGCGGTGGCGTAAATCACCAGTTCCCTGTGTGCCGCCTGGGTCCCCAGAGCAGCCTGCCACAGGTGAGTGGGTGCTTGCGCATGAGCAGGGCGCGGGGCAAATGCTGGAAGGGCACACACTGAAACATCATCTGTGAACGGTGTCAGAGACCACCAAGATCAGGGAGGGGGCGGACGGGTCTGTGTTCTGCAGCTGTCACCTGGGCTCACACAGCTGGGCCTCCCCAGGCGCAGCCCAAGAAGCCACTCTGTGCAGCTTGTGGCAATGGCACTTTGCAGAAACGCTCCTGCGGACCCCTTCTTCAACCTGTTGGTGCTGGAGATAGAGTAGCAGGGATACATGGTTTCTGAGGGATCGGCGCATGATTAAAAATGCACTGTGGAAAGTCCACCGTGGGCTGGTGCACTTCTCTCCATAATTTGGTGTGGATTTGCAAACAAGGAGCGCTTAGCTGCGTGACTCTGTGGCCCAGAGCATGTGTACTGGTCTTCCTGGTGTTTACTGGGGCCATCTACTTGCAGCCTGGACCTCCCACATCGCCAGGCTGCCAGGACGGAGGGCTTTGCTCTGAGCTCTGCTCCAGATCCGCAGCTGTGAGCGTCCCAGAGGAGGCTGGACTTGGCCTGGGGCTTTGAGGATGGCTGCATGATGCCTGTGTATAGACAGAAGTTTGATTACCTCCAGCTCACAGATGATTCATAAGCCGAAGCGCAGAGTTGACAAGTATTTACCTAAGATCAGGCAGCTAATAAATGCCAGGGCTGACATTTGACTTTCCCTTTCAAAACGAAAGGGTCTCAGGTTAGGGAGTGTAATTCAGGAGGCCCAGATGTGGATCAGTCCGAAGCAAAGCTCAGCACCTGGGCCTGCAGCCACCAGGAGCAAAGGTGCCCTTGGCTGGTTGCACCTGAGCTCACGATTCCTCTTTTCGGGGCCTGTAGGCCCGGGTCTAACATTCACTAGACACCTTCTTGTGCGGTGCCTGCTACGGTCCTCAGGTTCTGTGTGGATCTCGCACTCTGTGTGGCCCTACTATGTGCACTGCCCAGGAAGGAAGCTGAGGTTGGGTGAGGTTAAGTTCCTCCAGAGCACAGAGCTGCTGCATGTTGGAGCTGAGTCTAAACCCAGCACTGTCTGGTGCTGCTATCCCTGGCCTTTTTCCTATGCTACTTTTCCCTCCCTGGAGGAAGCCGAGATGCCGATTGTAATTCTGACTAAACAAGCTTCCTCTAAGCTCCCCACGCTGCGCCTTTGGTCCCTGCAGAACACATGCATTAAGCATGAACCCGCCACTTAAAGGCCCGCTGGGAGCCGGGCTTCCTGCTGCGGTTAAAAGTGACCCGTTGCAAGGGTGCCATGTAGGTTCGGGGAGGCCCCGTCCCCATCCAAGAATCAGGTGTAAATGAAACAGTCCTCTCTGTACACAGTTTGCTTCAAATCAGCAAAACATTTCTAGTTGGCTTTCAGGCGAGGCCTTGCACATCTAACAGCCTTTAATCTTGCCCCAGTCGGCCCAGACGGTCATCTCCAGGCCTCAACTGGGGTGCAGGTGATCCGGAGCTCATGAAGGGAAGCTGCTGCAGCTGAGGCTGTTTCAAGCTTCACCTGGGTAGTGGGGAGCCCTAATTTATCTCTTGTTCTCTTGGACCTGATGGCTGCTGGTTACACACATCACAAGGTCAGGAAGTGGGATTCGGCGCTGTGCTTATGGGAAATGTTGGTGGCTGACTCTGAGAATTGGCTTCCCGTGTGCCCTTAATTGCCTGTGTGCCAGGCCCTGCAGAGTACATGGAGGCCTCTCCTGAGAGCTGTGACCTCTGCCCTGGTGCCTTCCAGGGCCTTGCTTCTGTCACTCCTTGCTCTGGAGGGTGCGCAAACTCCCCTTCCCTGTCCACTTCCTGGGAAGGGGGCCTGCTGAACCCTGGCCCTTTGCTAGAGGAGAACTTGGACTCACCGTGTCTCCGGGCTGACAGGAAGCCTCGTCCTCAAAGCTCTGTGGTACACAGGGGGCCTAAGGCCTAGTCTGGCAGGCCAGAAATGCCTCTTCCCCTAAACTGGGCCGGGGTTTTCTGAGGCCAGACCTGGGATACAGTTGAGTTCTACACCTGCCAGTGGGCGAGCTTCAGGTGCTGGGAGTGGGTGCCCCTGTGGGACTAGGGCAGATCCAGGAGCACCCGAACACATCCGGGAGGGCCTGACTGCTGGGTGCCTGCACAGGAGTGAGAAGGAAGGTGTGGCACTGGCCCTCAGAGCAGCAGGCTTAGCTTAGCCTCTGTCACACCGGGTACTTGAACCCCTCGCTGTTGGTATTCAGAGCAGTTAAACGACATCAGTACCAGGAAGCACGTGCTTGGTGCACGGGAGACATGCACCCAATTCAGCTCCCTTACCTTCCCTCCACACGAGTGCCTGTCACAGGCAGATGGTCTCCTACCTGTCACCATTCCAGGTAGGTTTTCAGCAGCACAAGGGCTCAGCCGTAGGAACTGTACTGCACATGTGGATACTTCATTTTGCCAGGCTCTTGACATGGTTTTTTTCTGGTTCCAGGAACCGAACTCACGATCTTGCGCTTGCCAGGCAGGCGCTGTGCCGCTGAGCTAAATCCCCAGCCCCTCGGGCTCTTGACATGTGCTGCGGGGGGCAGGGTGGAGAACTGCGGCTCCTGGTCAGCCCTGCAGTCATACGGTCGTGTTGTCACCTTCCTGATCCGGGACAGGATACTGGACGTGGGCACCTCAGAGTGAGAGGCTCCTTGTAGGGCTCTGCTTTGCACAGCTCAGCCTGTGCGACACTGGCCAGGAAGAACATGGTGGGAGGACGGGCCAAGGGCCCTCCACCACCCGCGGTGCCAGAGAGCAAGAGAAGGAAGGAGCCAGGGTGAGGTACACCCTCCCAGGTCACACCCCAGATACCTACCTCCGAGCAGCACATTGAGCTGTGAGCTCGTCTGGGGCTCACTGACCGATGGGCACCCTGTCCCTGTGATGCAGCCACCTTCCAAAAGCTGCACTTGTGAGGACAGGACACTTTTGGGTACACTTCAGATGCAAACCATGATATTCTGCCTCTGGGCCCCAAAAGACACCTCTCTGTCTCCATATGAGGCATGCTTTTAGTTCTTCTGTAGGCGTCACAGAGACTTAACATTTCCAACATTGCTGACATGTCCAAGTCCAGAGTCTCCTTGAGACCCAAGGCAAGCTCTTTGCTGTGAGCCCTGTAAAAATTAAAACCACAGTTAAGTACTTCCAGTGTACAAGGGCACAAGCTAAACATCCCTGTTCCAAAAGGGAAGTATAGGAGAATAGAAAGGAATTGAACCAAAGCAAGATCAGAAACCAGCAGGACAAACCTGTAACTCACATATGGTGCCTGGGCCATATGATGTTGGCATGTGAACTCCTAAGCGCCTGGGCAGCACTGCGCCATGACCTTGCCCACTGGCCTTTTTTAGGCTGGGGTCTGCTTGCTTCCTTGCTTCCTTGCTTCCTCAGCAGACATTCCATGTTCCTGACAGCTCCAAATTCCTGGGCTGTCCATTGTAGCTTTGGCTTCAGTTTTATGACTTTACATATCACACTCTTTTGGGCTCTTGGCAGGGACTACAGGCCTGTCACCTCACATTTCCTGGTCCCCTGGCCTTTCACTAAAATCCAGTGGAAACGCTGTGATCCCAAAGTTCTTATATTGTGCATGCCTGAAAAACCAGCACCACATCAATGGCTCCAGAGTCTGCATCCAGCTCCAGCAGTAGCCAGAGCTCCCTTGGAGCATGGCTATAGCAGCCTCTGAGTGTCTGGATTGCTGAAATTGGGGATACACTTCCCTCAGCAACCCTGAGTGATCAAGACACCCTGGGTCTCTCTTCCTAAAGCAAAGTCTTAAAGCAGTTCATTGTTTTACACCCTTGAACCTTGCATGAGTGTGGTGTGGCCAATTCCTAAGCTACCTTCCTATTGCATCTTCCCACTGCATCTTAGTGCAAACTGTCTACCTTCTTCTTAAGGGCTCTAACATGTTCAGCAATTACATTCCTTTTGGTCCCAAATGTATTCATACTATTCATACTTCTTTTCTGGGAATATTGCAAGTTTTTTTAAATCATTCACCTCTTTTTTTTTTTTTTTTCTGATTCTCACTGTAGTTCTGGCTAAATGCACCAGCAGTATTCATGCTACAGCCTCAACATTGGGCATTTCTTCCTCTAAATCAGTTTGTCCACCACCTTTAAATTCGGTTTTACAGTAAGTTTTAGGACATGTGCAGAATTTGCTGTGATGTAACATGAATGCTTCTGGTCCAGTTTCCAATAATGTTCTCATTGCCATCTGCAATCTCATGAACCTCGCTTTTATTGTCTGTGTTTCTTTTAGTGTTCTGGTCTTCTGAGCGCCAATCAGAACTGTCTGTTAAGCTCTGCTTATATACTCCTAGCCTTTATATAGCCCAGTTCTCCAAGTTTCCAAACTCCTCTTGCAGACCACTTCCAAAGGCTTTAGAACCACATAGGCAGTACACCCTGGCACATAGCCACCACATAGGCACCACCGTGAACCAACCCCTGGTACCAGTTTTCTGTGTTGGGTACTTTCTCATTGCTGGGGCAAAATACCTGACACCTGAAACTGACATAAAGGCAGACAACGCATGGCAGAAGAAAGCTGCTGACCTGATGGTGCCCAGGAAGCCAAAGAGCAAAGGAAAGAGCCAGGACAAGAACAGACCCTCCCAGGCCCTGCCCCAGTGTCCTGACTCCTTCATCCCACCCCATCTCCTAAGAGCACATTCAGCCTTGGACTTCTCCGTGGCTTAACCTGTTGATGAGTATAATGACCTCATGATCTGCTCACCTTCCCAAAGCCCCATGTCTAGTGACGTGGGACTTCCAGGGGAAGTTTTACATCGAAGCCATAATAAAGGTGAACAGCCTGCACTGTGCGGTGTGCCATATCCTTGGCTGTGACTTCCAGGAGATTAGATGCACTAAATCATTTTGACTTACTATATTTACTACTTGCAATGGAATTTTTAGGTCATATACCTATTGTAAGTCAAGGAGCTCCTGTGTTTTACAATGGCTGTGTTTAACCTCTTAAATCTTCTCTTTTCCACTCCCACTCTGTCATTGTTCTCCCTGGAAACCTGGCCACATGGGGGCATCTGGTCACTGCACCTGAAGGTCAACTCTTGCCAAGTGTGGAAACCTTGAACTCTTGAGCCCTGTCTATAATGTATAATGGAACAGCAGCTGTTCATTCTAAGGCTTTTGTGCCCAAATTTTAAAAAGCAAAGTTGAGACAAATATATCAAAATTTAATAATACCCTTTATTTAATTTTATGTGTTAAAAAATATTACTTCAACATGGTATGTTAACATTAGTCTTTCATTTCTTATTTAAATTAAATTTCCTTCTTACTGATACATAAAATGTGCAAATGATATGTGTTAATGGAGTACTGGGCAATGTTTCAGTACATGCATCCATTGCATCCTTGGAGTCAACACGTATCTACCTACTCAGTTATCTCTACTTTATGGCAAAAACATTCAGAGTCCTTCCTTCAGTGCTTCTATGTACCACACCCTCTGTTATGTGTAGTCGCTGCACTGTGCTGTCCACACCCATTGTTGCTCCTATGTAGCCATAACTTAGGACCCACTGATCTACCTCTATCCATCCTTCCTCTCCCCTCGGCTTCGTTTTCATGTTGCGAGGACAGAATGCCTGACCCCCGTCAGGTAAAGGAGGAGAGGTTCATTTGGCTCACAGTTTCTACAGGTTTCAGTCCACAGTGGGCTGGCTCCAAGGCGGGCTGGCATGGCGGAGGGTCACCGCAGAGGAGAATCAGTCCATGGCATGGAAGGCGAGAAACAGAGCAGCATCAAGGGGAAGGAGGGACATGTGCGTGTATGTACCCCCCTTCCAGGCCACACCACAGGGACCCCTCTTCCCACCAGCGTCACCTCCCCACATCACGCCAGCTGTAACCCATCAGTGGACCCATCCACTATCACACACCCGCAGTCCAGTCACTGCCAGTGCCCCACCTGCAGCACAGGAGGCTTTGGGGGGACACCTAGATAAAAGCCCTGCCACCCCTGCTCTCTAACTGCCCTCTACTTCTGTGAGATCAGCTAGACATCATCCCACATCATGTGGTGCTTGACTTCCATGCCCGGGTCACTTCACTTAGGTAAAGTAATGATGATCTCCTCACTTAGGTAAAGTAATGATCTCCTCACTTAGGTAAAGGAATGATCTCCTCACTTAGGTAAAGGAATGATCTCCTCACTTAGGTAAAGGAATGATCTCCTCACTTAGGTACAGGAATGATCTCCGTTTCCACCCACCGTGCTGCAGGTGGTGTGATTCTGTCACGTTTATGGCTGAGTATTGTTTCCTGTGTCTACGCATCGGTTGGTGGACACAGGTTTTCCCCTTTCTTGGCTCTTGTGAATGGTGCTGCAGTGAACATGCCGATGTACTTCCTTGGATATGCACCTAGGAGCAGAACTGACGGATCGTAAGGAGATTCTGTTTTTTGACATTCTGAGGAACGCCATGCTCTTTTCCACCATGGTGTGTGGATTTACATTCCCACAACAGTGCAGGAGCCTTCCCTTTTTCCTGTGTCTCTCCCAGCACATTTGATCTTCTTTTTTGATAACAGCAATGTCTTGGTTACTTTTCTCTTGTTGCTGAGACAAAATACCTGACACCCAGAATTAAGGAAGGACAGTTTTATTTAACTCACAGTTTGTGGAGGTTTCAGTCCATACTGGGCTGGTTCCAAGGCAGAGTGGCACATGGCAGAGGGCAAGTGTTCAGTCAGTGGAACACCACAAAAACAACAAGAGCAAATGGAGGAATGGTGGCAAGCAGCCTCTTTCCCTCCCTTACACTGTATGCAAACTACCTGCCCCAGGGCGGGTGCAGCACTCACACCCATAATCCCAGCATTGGACCATGGATCAATCACAAATCCTAGAAGCCCGCCCCACGACTGCATGAGGCCTTGGGGGGACACTCAGACCCAAACCAAAATGAGCAATTCTTCTTGATGTGAGGTGATGTATCTCATTGTGGTTTAGATTTGCATTTCTGTGATATGCAGCGTTTTTCATATACCTATTCTCTCTTGAGAAATGCCTATTTAGAGCTATTGCTCATTTTTAATCAGTGTTTTGTTTGCTTGTTTTTTCCTGTGGTGGTTTTGGAATTCCTCGTATACTGTGCATAGTAAGCCCCTGTCAGATGTGTACTTTGCAGATCTTTTCTCCTTTTCTGCAGGTTGTCTCTTCATTCTGACGGTTGTTTCCTTTGCTGTGCAGAAGCTTTTTGCGTTAGATCAAACCCCACTTGTTTGGATTTACTTTTGTTTCCTGGGGGTGGAGGGCCTTGCCCATTCTGCTGTCCTGTGGTGTTTCCCCTGTGTTTTTGCCAGTAGTTTCTTTGTTTCTGTTCTTCTCTTTATGCCTTTAATCCCCTCTGAGCTGAGCATCGTGACTGGTGAGAGACAGGGTTCTAGTGTCCTTCTGCATATGGATGCCAGGTTCCCCAGCAGCAGGTATTGAAAAGGCTGTCCTTTGTGTGTTGTGTGTTCTTTGCCCGTGTGTTGAAATCTGCTGCCTGTGCATACGTGGATTTGCTTCTAGGCTGTCCATCCTGTTCCATCAGTCCATGTTTTTATGACAGTACTGTACTGCTTTCATTACTAGTGGCTCATGTGTTTTAAAAATATTAAATATCTTACATTCTTTTTTCACACTAAACCCTCAAAATCTGGTGTATATTTCACAGTCTCAGTTTGGATGTGACACATTTCAGACCCTCACTGACCACATATTGTTCATGTCCATGGACAAGGCCTGGAACTTGACCTCTAACCCTGTACTGTGATACAAAGGCAAACAATAGAAATACTACCTTCAAAGAGGAAAAACCCAACCTCAGCCTTTTCTCTATAATAATGTGTCCCAATAGATATATGTGCAGAATTTTGAGCAAAATGGCCAAACACCCAAGAATCCCAGTCAAGTACTCTCATGAGTAAAATCAACATAAAATTTAAAAAAAAAAAAAAAAGAAAGAAAAACTAGTATGCTCTTCAGAAGCTCAAAAAATGCACACCAGTATGTGCTTCCTGAAGAAACCATCCAGGTCATTTGTCAGTCCCCAGAATATCAGCACAAAAATATCCAAGCATGCAGGACTTGTTCTAAAGGGCCCGGCAGTCTGCACTGAGACAAGTTAGACATGGATGATCTACAGAGTATTGGTTTAAGTCGGTTGCAAAGCCCAATGCACATGTAAAACATTTGTCTTGAAAATACATAAAAATAAGCAGCTGATTACAATCATTTTAAAACACCCTGTGGGGAAAAAGTAAAACACCCTGGGAAGTATGGACTGGGTGTAAAGCTGCAAAATTCCTCATATTAAAAAGCAAAATTCTTGTATTTTGTAGGATAAATTGGGTGACATTTTTTAACACTTCACATTGTTTATACTGAGAATAAAAGGTAAAGTGTCTCTGCAAAGCTCAGGTGTGACCACTGGTGAAGTTTTTTGTTGTTTTTTTTTTTGTTTTTTAAGCAAGATTTACATGCATTAAAGGTAGGAAATGTGCTCTGCAGTGAGTTGAGCCACTTAAAGTAGGAAAGGGAGCACACTCTGCAGGGTAAGACCTGACCGCTGTGCACTATGAAGGAGAACACATGGCCAGGAGCTCAATGGCCGCCATCTTTGGTACCCTCTCCCCCTGCCACCCGCCTTGGACTGATGTCAGGTGTAGGCTGTCCTATGAAAACTTGCCTACTGCTAGTGAGAAGAATTGAAGATAGCACTTCCTGTTTGTTTCCAGGTGCTGGGCTGGCACACATGTCTCTTGGATCACCATGATTGGCAGGTCACACCCAGTGACCAGTCAGCTGGCTACATCCTAATCTCCTGCCTTATCACCCCACAAGAGGCATAAATCCCCATAATTCTTTATGAGGTGCCTAGGAAGTGGAAGTCTCTGTCTTCATGTAACTATTTTCTGCTGAAAGGGGCTGTAGGCCCTACGTGCTCGAAAGTATGTGTGCTCCAACTACTTTGGGATGTTGTGGCTTATAGGCTGGCTTGAAAAAAACCCTGTCAGAAGGCAATGAGGAAAGAGTAGCTATATGTGAGCTGCCTGTTTGTATGGAGAAAACACGGTGAATTTGTCAGGAGAATAATTTTACTAATAGGTTGTGGGCATAGAGCCCACATATGAGAAGGAGCAGGTCAGATTTCCACAGTTCCTGTGGAGGAGGAAGTATGGCAGAAGGGTGTTAGGTAAATTACCACGAACCTGAGAGGCATAGCCAGAGCAAGATTACCCACTTATGATTCTAATTAAAAATAGAAGGCTCAGCACAGATAACTGTCTAAGCTGTGGTGAATTACGGGTCATTAGTGACTCTACTTACCTACACTTTGAGCAGAACTGGAGTCTTGCTTTCTAAAGTGAGGCCTCGAGTCTTCCAGAGATTCTCAGGAGTAGCTATCTTCTTCTAGGTGATCTTGTTCCTCAGACAGTTCAGGTGCAGCAGGCTTACACTGCCAGTCCACCTGGCATGTGTCCTCATCTGCACAGATTCTGTCAAAGGAGGTGTCCTGGGATTGCCAGCGTTATTGTAGACACAGAGCGGTCAAGCTTTGTAGTTCTGTGGAGTAGTTGCCGTTAGACCCTAGTCCTGTAAAATTTTGAGTGAGCATTTGGCAGGTATAGCCTGTATAGCTTACCATCACATCCCTTGAGGAAGGGCCAGTTTGAATGGTTCCTCGGGAGTGGGGAATGAGGCTAGGGTCTTGAGGGGCTGTAGGGCTGTCCTTCTTGTCTCCCCATCAGCATGTTGATTTCCGAGGAGATTGTAGTGAAGGACAGTGACCCGCCTGGGAAGAGAGACCCTCCAATTTTACTAGAACATCTCTTAGTGAGTAGGCCATGATGAGACAATCAGAACCTCAGGATGAACACTGGACCTTTGAACTGACATGTCAAAGCAGGTGTAAAGAAACTTTGACTAGAGCCCCCTCAACCCCAATTATAGCTACAGATCTAAAGGCACATTTTCCAGGGAAGGGAGTTAAAATAGTTCATAAGGAATGGAGTTCGCTTACTCGTGATGTCCAGGGTTGTGCAGGTCTTTTTTGTAGAATATGGAGATGTCCGTGGACAGGGGCACTGCAGGTTGCTCTAGGTCCCTTCAGTCTTTTACTCAGAGCAGGAGAGAAGGGTTGTGCTGGCCTAGCCCCTGTCTTGTAGCAGGGACAGTCAGCTCTAGTGCCATGAGTCAGGCACATTGACTGTCTGGCACATGGAGCAGGGCTCCAGCAATGGCTTGGCATAGGTGGGCACCCAGGTGCAGTTTTCTTGCAGGCCTTGATTGGCCTTGGGTTTTCACTTGGATGACATGGGTCTGCATAAAACATTGCTTCTTGAGACGGCTATGATTTTGGTCTGTCCTTTTGCTTAGCTCTTTTCCTTTTATCCTCATCTATATTCTGACTGTTGAACACAGAAACGGTTGTGTCCACCAACTGGGTTATATGGGTTTGGGGTACAGCAAGTGGCCAACACAAATTGAATAGGTCAGAAGCAAGAGTCAAAGTCTGAAACCATGTGAAATCTATCAGGATCTTTTGAAAATACTGGGTCTGTCTGGGACACTAACCTCAGGCTGAGTTCGTTAGTATTTACTGGCTTGAGGATTATAAGGAGGAGGCCAAGGAGACCTTCCAATATAGTTATTTTTATTAAACTGATAAGAAAGACCTATATTCCTCTGAGAGACGGGGAGCATCTGAGGACATGATCATCAACGATACCAATTTCCTTTTCATTGGAGGCTTCTTTAAGTACCATAGTTCTTGAGCCTTTTCAGAGATAAAGGTCATAAAAGCCTGAACATATGGGATTTCATATTGCTTTCCTTGCCTTTTGCAGAAAAGATCTAACTGAAGAACAGTATTATAACGGAAGAATAGTATTATAACTGGAGAATAGTATTATAACTGGAGAATAGTATTGCCCTTCTGTACCCATCTCTCACCATTTCCTAGTTCATCATGATGGTGAGGTCACTGGGCTCCGCTGCGTGTCTCCCATGGCATATCCTGGATCCCACTCACTCCTTAGAGAGCATGGTGGAGTGCCCTCTCTTTCCCTTAGAAACTTCAAAGAGATCAGGGTGGAGCCCTCCCAGAGACTTCCTTAGCCCCTTGAGAAACTCTTAGCCACCTGAGAAACAATATCCCTTACATTTACCCCGGTAATAAAAACCTTTGTACTATGTTGAAGGCAGTAGAGGTAGAAACCTCTCTTTAACAGTTAAGAGAAAAAGTTTTAAGTACAAGGATAGCTCTACATTAAATACTTAAAGCCATTTAAGTTGACCTTTACTGGCAGTTCCCTTTGTTTTCCTCAGGCCCTTGGACTCAATGTTTTTAAAATACTTGAATTTCTGTTAGAAGAAACGAAGAGGGGATCTAACCTGATTCAGAGGAGAAGCATGGAGGGGGTCCATGTCTCCTAAAAGTGGAGGCTTCGCTCTTATCTGCAAGGGTGAGATTTCCTGGTGTCCATGAGGTCAGCTGAAAAACAGAAAATGGCCAGCAAACATGGAGGATCCATGTGGCTGGCTAACAGGATAAAAACAAAATGGCTGTCCAACATGGCGGAAAGGTGGACTGGGGTAAAACAAGGCTCTGAGAAAGCAACTTACTAAGGATACCCAGAGATAAAAAGCCAGAGGGGACAAGTACAGGTGAGACTTTGAACACAAGTAGGCCACCAAAAGAGTGAGAAATCTTAACAAAGTATCAGAGAAAACAAAAATGTGAGCAGAAAACTAAAACACTAAAACACTAGCAGAAAACTAAAACACTAAACTCTAGCCATACACATGGAACCTGGACAGTCTGTTCCGAGGTTAATAACAGGCTCTCTGGCAGCTCTGAACTGACTCATACCTGCAGTGAGTGACCAAAAGTCAGGGGAAAGACAGAGAAACTTGATCCAGACCTATGGGCCTCTCATTACCCAGGAAAAACAGAGAGACCATGCGCTTCCCCTCCTCTGTCTCACACGGTGGGACACACCAGGAAACTGTTCCCAGAGCTGCAAGGAATCTTCCTGAGTTTCCCAGCTTCCGTTAATGTTTTCCACACTCTCACTCCCTGCCTCTGCTGACAACCAGCATCAGCCGTCCGACAGATGAAAGTCCATCCGGGGAGAGACGGGACAAGAAGAGGACTGGGGCTTTCCTGTTTGGGGAAGGGCAGAAAAACACAAAACCAGCCCTTCCCCGCTTGAGTCTGTAGACTTCAGAGAAAAGGAGAAACAAAACTGTGCCCACAGGCCCTTACCTTCTTCTACCTGGCTTCACCAAAATTCATTACTGAGCTCTGGGGTACTGGGGGACTCCTTCTAGAGATTCTTTCTATGTTCTTATCTTGAACAAGAAATTGGACAAAACAAGTGCAAAAGCAGGCAGAGTTTAACACTCATTAAAGTAGGAAATGAAACACTGCAGAGCATTTGTGGGCCAGTTAAAAGTAGAGAAAGAAGTACACTGTACACGGTGGGATCAGAGCACTGCAAAAGAGAGCACAGTGGCCTCGTGAAGTTATAAATAGAATTAGAACTAAGTTATTGGAGACAGTTGTTGCTAATGAAAAAGAGCCTGTATTGAACAGGAAATAGACAATGGAAAAACAAAAATGATATTGCAAGTTAGATACCCATATCGGTGTATTAGTTGGCTTTCCCATGGTGAAGACACAATAACCAACATCCGTAGCTTAAAGGAGAGTGTAATTCAGCCCATGGTCCCAAGGCTTTAAGGCTGTAAGGGATTCAGTCCATGGTCCCAAAGCAGAAACAGTGGAAAGGCTGTGGAAGCAGAGACGCAGGGCAGGTATAAAACAGCAGGGAAAGATCACCACCAGAGAGGAAGGGGTGAGGGACCAGGCCCTGAAGGCACACCTCCATGACCCCCACACACACAACACTCACATGCTTTACTGATCTCCCACGCCAGTAAAATTGACACAGTTACGCTTAACGACCACAGTGGGAAAAACTAACAGTCAACTTTGATTGTCACTTGATACCATAACCTATCTCTCTGGTAAAAACTTTCAAATATGTAAAGCAAATCCTGACAGAAATGTAAGGCACATGAGGCAAGAGTATACCATATCTTGTATATGGTAGGTATAAAGACATTCCATACTGTTAAAAAAACTTAAAACATAATGGATATCAGAGGATACCAAACTTCATATCCATCCAACAGAATAAAAATATATTCAGCTGTTCGTGAAAAAATTATGTACATGATAGCATAGTAGGACACAGGAATGCCTTACTGAATTCTAAGCCATAAAATTGTGTAGGCCCAGTGCAGGATCACAGTGCAGTAGAACTGCTCATCAGAGTTAACTTTTGCATGGGAAGTTCATAGTTTGTGGAACTTAGGATTGAATAAAGCATTTTCCTAAATGTTTATTTCATCCAAAAGAAAATAAAAACTAAATTCTGGCCTAATTTGCAGCCATCTAAACGGGTCCATTTCACACTTTATGTAATGTGCCAAACGCCGTCATTGGGCATGTTTTTAATTGGCTTCAATTCTTTCATCCAGAAACGAGGATGATAACAAGTGACCCTCACATGCACGCAGGCTGTGGAGTAGGAACAAGGTTGAGGCTGGAGAGAGACAGGGCTCACAGCAGAAGTTCGCGGAGTCAGGGAAATGAAAACCAGGAAGTGCAAGCATTAGTTTTCAAAGCCGATGCCGTGTACAAGAATTTGTCAAAACTCTAATGGAGAAAACACTAAACAATAGAGGAAACACTAATAAGCAAAATGGTGGACGATACGATATACAACAGTAATTCCTTGGTGATAGCGTGGTTGTCGAACTGCTCGAACTCCAAGTTCCCACAGCTCAAACAGCAAAGACTGGGAAAAGTCTGCTCGGTGTTGGCAACTTCGCTCACTAGTCGAGCTAAAAACCCAACTTGAGAAGACCTGTATGGGCCGAGAGTGATCTCCTCCTGTCTTGCTGCAGGCGCAAAGGGGGGCACCGCAGGCTGAGCGCCGCTGTCGCCCTGATGACACAGTGCTGGCCCCTGCGCGTTCACACATTCGTCCCCGCGCTTTTTTATTTGCATAAAATATCATCGCGATGGCTCCAAAGAAAGTTAGCGACACCGGTAGTAAAGCGTAGAGGAGAACTGTGAGAACCATGACAGAAATTATTGGGAAATTTGTTAAAGTCCTGGAGAAATGAATTTATAAGAGTAATTTTGGGGCCTCAGAACCAATTGATTGATTTTCCATTCTTTCTGATGGGAAAATATATTCAGTTCTTGAACTGTTCTGTGTTCAGACACGAATTGGGAAAGAACTGAGTTCGTCAGCAGGTGTCATTGTACACAGAACAGTGATAATAAAATAATGACCAACATGTGCTTGGCACCTGCTGTATACCTGATTCAGTACGAAGCATTTAGTGTAGGTTAGGGCCTTTCGTTCTCACTGCCACCCTTGGAACCTAGAGCTGAAGACCCTGTTCTGCAAGTGAGCAAGCTGGGGGTAAAGACACGTTTGCCTGTGAAGCGCGGAAATGGGCACCGCGCCCTGTGCTTTCCCCTTCCTACACCCGCGCCCAGCTGACAGCCCACGCCGGCTCCGGGAGGCTGTCACGTATCGCTGCAATCCAGGGACCGTTGTCCCGACCAGCTGGCCTTAAACTCTCCCCTGCAGGGGGCTGCAGCTCAGTCCACGCACACTGAGGGGTGGTCCAGCCTGGGTGCTGATGCCAGGCCTTCGCCCAGCCTCGGGGTTGGTGTTGACTGGCTCTTCCCTGCTGCATGCAGGACCCCTTCCCCCATTGGTGGACGAGCAGGCTTGGGGCCCGGCCCTGCGCAGTGCCCTCTCCGCCTCCTCCCTGAGCCGCGCCTGGGCTCCTGGGCTCCTCAGCCTTCCTGGTACCGAGGACTTAGGGTCACACGTCCCAACTTGCACTCGCTTTTACCTTTTATAGTTTTGCTTCCATGACGACTAGTTTTCTACAAACACACACAAGCATGAACACACGTGTATGAACACAAGCGTGAACACACATACACAGTTACGTTTTACTTTTGAAAAGAGAGTTTAGGCTATCTCATCCCCAGGTTACCTGGAACAGAAGTCTTCCAGCCTCCTTCCCTTCACATCCGTGCTCCGGAGCTGGCTTTGGGTCTCCAGAAAGCTGCTCCTACCCTGTCTGTTGCTGCGCAGGTTCTTTTTGCCTTTACGTGTTTGCTTGTCGATGCGTGGGTATCCATTGTGCGTCTGAATCGCCCACAACTGTGTGATTCCCACAGGGACGCTCACCCCGCCCCAGCCTTCCTTCTGCTCCTGCTGTGGGCTAGAGCTCACTGGACTCTCAGGAAACGTTGAAGGAAGAAGTCTCCCAGGCGAAGTCCAGGAGCAGGTGCTTTGATCTGCTGTGAGCGAGAGAGAGGGGAGGGCAGGAGCTTTGTGTCCTGGCTCGGTGACAGCCCTAGCTGGGGAACAAGTCCCACCTGCCGAGCTGAGTGCTGCCAAGACCTCGCTTTTGGAGAAAGATCACACAGGAAGTTGCCAGATACAAAAATCAGTGTTATACTGAGTAAAGACTTCAGTTTAAAAACATAAATGTTAAAGTAAAAGAAAAATAGAAAACTTCAAGCTGAGGCTATGGAAGTCTCCTATACAGTGGCACCTTGGTTCACGGAAGCTTTTGTTCCTGAACAGTTCAGTTCGAAAACAGAAGCACTGGGAAGAATTTTTTGTTGTTGTTTGTGAACTCTACGCTGGGTGACAAACATGACCATAGCCATCTTTCCCAGAATTCTGGAATGAATTATGCTCATGAGCTAGGTACTACTGTAAATGCCCAAGAAAAATGGAAAACAATCCAAAGAAAATTTTATAGTAGATTTGACTAATTGGAATGGGAAAAATCACATGGACAGTTCAGAATAAGCAGCTGAAACAAAACTATGTGCCAAGTGATCGATCGAGAGAGTTATGCTTGAAATGGATACAGCATATAATATAGAACAAACACTTACAAATACAGAAGAAAATGGACCAAAGGAGAAATGAGTGGCGGATAAGAATAAAGGAAACAAAGGAAATCTAAAAGCTAAATAAATAGTATGAATATACAGCGATAACATCACTAAATATTCAAAAAATACGAAACTGAGTTTTTGCATCCACATAGGGAAGAATAAAAATGGTTATCACACATTGCTGCTAAGCACACTCTTAGAGCCGTGGGCATGAAAGTGTCAGTTGTAAATGAACATCAAAAACAGCTCCTTCTTTTTAGTGGTTTGTCAGTGTCTGTCACCATTCCTTTAAAAATAGAAGTCTGTGTATCTTTGTCCTGAGGAAGCAGAGGGAGTTGAAGGATCTTTTCTGCGCAGTTGTAAACATCAGACACGACTGCAGGGTGGAGACCTTGGCCATCCTCTCCATGGGCACTGGGAGCTTTTCGGGATTACTCCTAATGAGGTTTTCGTTGACTTGATAAACAGGCTGGATGCTGCTGGAACAAATTAAAAAGAATAACACTTAGGATGCAGCTCTAAGTTGAAAAAGACACAGAAATTCTTTGCGCCAGAACTTGAAGATGTCCATGCTGTCCCGCCGAAAGAGGAGCGCCCTGCAGCGCTTAACACAACACCTCTGGGAGGAGCATTCCCGAGTTCTTGTTTTCCTTTGATTACATTTTATAAAATTCTTATAGTAGCATAGTTTTTAAAAGTATGGTCTTCCTCTCTCCTACATTGTTTGTGGGAATGTAAACTCATACAACCATGATGGAAATCTGTATGGCGATTTCTCAAGGGGTTGAAGTTAGAAATTCCATGTGACCCTGGTATCCCTCTACTAGGGGTCTTCCCCAAAGAGCTGAAGTCATCATACTCCAGGGATACATGTGTACCAGTGTTTATGGCAGCAGAACTCATAATAGCTAAATTCTAGAAGCAGCCTCTATACCCATCAACAGATGATTGGATAAAGAAATTATTGTATCTATATAGTGGAATACTACTTGTCTGTGAAGAATGACAAATTTGAAGCATTTGTAGGAAAATGGGTGCACCTGGAAAACATAATGCTGAGTGAAACAAATCGGACACACAAGCCTGAGAACCGTATGGTGTCCCTCATTTGAGTGAGGCAAAGTACAAAGAAAAGCATAAAAGATGGATAGGAAGGGACAAGAGGACGGTCTCCTCCAGTAGTGAAAGGGCCTAAGGGAACAAGGACAGGAGTGAGGAGCAGGGGAAGGGGAAATGGGAGGAATGAAGATGCGCCAAGTACAGGATCCTAATAACCCTGCTCCGTGTGAACATCACAAGCCATGACTTGCCCTAAAACAAACAGCATCAGTAGGCGTGAGAAAGGGGGGGCGGGGAGGGAAGGAGAAAGGGATTTTAAAAAGCTGCAATGTGCACACATAATCACTTCCCAAGATGACTGTAAACTGCATGTACTCATAAATTAAAAAAAAAAAAAACCCAAGGCAAAACCTGGATGACTAGTGTTTCAAAATCGCCACGTGCTTATCAGTGGCTAATGGTTGTAAAAATCATCGCAAGCTTATCATGTATCATGTGCTTGGAAAGACGTGCCTGACTGTAACCTCTGAAATTGTTGTTCACCCTTTCTGCATGCTTAAGAAATCCCCAACTGACCGCGTCCCCTCCCCAGAAACAAAGGCTAAGACCCTGATTGGCCTAGACCATGCCAGTCAGTGAAAGAGGTCCTTGTAGAAAGCAGCTTACCCCTGTATGTATAAAGAACTAGGCATCCTGAGTGGGGTGCCAGCATCCTGCAGTCCACACGGCTCTTGAGATAGCTCTGCTGCATTTGCCACACTTGAAATAAACTTTCGCTTCACATTAAGAAAAAAGAAAAATATGTTTTTCATTAGATTCTGTAAGAACAGAGGGAGGAAAGGGGGAAAATGGCGAGCTGAGGGGCCCTGAGGCTTGTTTTTCTCCTCTGCAGGGCAGTATTGGGGTCCATGTGCAGACTGAGGGGTTCTGTCACAGCCATCTAGGCGGCTGCACTTCTGGGAGGGGCTTTGGGGGGAAGAACCATCGGAAAGGGCACCCGATCGAAGGGCATCCACACACTGCTTGGGGCTCTGTTCCTCAAGGAGCTGTCTGTTTTACATCTTGTCTTAGTTTCTTTCTCACTGTTGAGATACATAACTCGATGCCCACAACTTCAACCTTATCTCACGTTTTGTAGAGGTTTTGGTCCATAGTCAGCTGATTCCAAGGCAGGGTGGCATGGCAGAGGAGAAATGGTGTATGGCAGGGTAGGTAGGAAGCAGAAAGAGATCAAGGGAGGATGAGGGAGATAGACCCTTCCAGACCACACCCCAGTGACCACCTCATCTGACTAGACTTTACCTCCCAACGTCATGTTTAGTTATAAACTAATGGACGCATTAATCCACTAACAGGGAGCATCACACCCCTATGAAATGGTTATCTCCCAACAGCCCTACCTATGAGCTCATGGGGTGAGGGGAGACATCTAGATATAACCTGTAACACATCATATTGGAGGCATCTTTATTGGGCACTTAAGGAATCACAGTGGGAGAGGTCACAGAGGACTCCCCACCCTTTGTGAAGCCACATTGTCCTGCATTAGCTACACAGTTTGCTAGCCTTTCACGTGGTGGTGTCATACAGGTTAGTTTGCTTTGGGCTGCAAGTAAAACATACAAAAGGAAACAATCCAAGTAAAAGCAGCTTAAACAATGTATGTGTTTTTGTCATTTAGCAAACCCTCCTGTTGATCAGGTCTGTAGATCTTATTGGTGGCCTCATAATCGCAGATGATCACACAGATCCAGCAGTCACCTCCTCCCAGGCTGGTGGGGAGAAGAGAACCTGATTCTCTTGTTCATTCTCTCTCTCTCTCTCTCTCTCTCTCTCTCTCTCTATCTATCTATCTATCTATCTCCTATCTCCTATCTCCTATCTCCTATCATCTCCCTCTCCACCTCTCTCTCATGTCCTGTCTGTCTATGGGGAAGACTGAGGAGGTGAGGGTCTCTCTGTATTGTGTGTTTACCGTGTTTCCAGTAGGAGCTCGGCATGGTGACTCGGGGGAGAGGCAGCACAAAGACTCATTTCTTTTGCTGTCAGAAGAAAATATCTCCTTTAGGAACCAGAGCGAATCAGTGTGTGGAAGTTTTACTCTTCTCTTGTTTCCCCTTTCTAACCCATAACTTTGGAGCCTTCTTTGAAGTTTGGTTACCTGTTAGGACCTTTTGAGGTCTCTAGATGTCTGTGAGGAAGCCCAGCCCCTCCAAGTTCAAGGCAGATGGAATGAAGCTGGAGTTCCGTGTTCTCGGTGGCACAGGGAAGCCGGCAGGCTCAGGGAGTCTGATGCCAGCTCTAACTGATAGGTAGCTGAACGCTTAGCCGTGAGGAGGGGTCGTCCGGGTCTGTCGCAGGGGCAGATCCATCAGTCGTAGAAGGAGACTTGCTGACCTCACACTTTTCCTGTCTTCAAGAATTCAGTGAAACTCATGAAATTAGAAACCTTGCACTTCCAACCAGTTCCTAGCTGGGAAGTTGGGGCGATTTCACAGAAGAAGTGGGGGTTGGAGCTGGATTTAGCGGGTACATGTGGATTCCAGAAGGGAGGCGGGAAAGCGAGGGCGGTCCCGGCGCCAGGAACATCGTGACCCACAGCGAGGAAGGTTGTAGAGGAGGCGGTGAGCAGGTGCAAGCCTGGCTGTGCGGACTAATGACAGACTCACCCAGAGGACAGAATACCTTTCCCAAGCACCTGCCTATTATCTGCTGAGCAGAGCTGTAAAAGTGAAACGCCTGTGACTGCATTTTCTCTACCAGAAGATGAAGACATGCCCTTCTTTCATCTCTTTGGCGCTTCCTCCCCTCTTTCACTTGCATTTTTTTTTCCCCCCTCCGGTACCGGGAACCGAACTCACGACCTTGCGCTTGCCAGGCAGGTGCTTTGCCGCTGACTAAATCCCCAGCCCCCCTCTTTCACTTACAAAGGATGCCCCTTTTGGTTGTTGAGGAAACTGATACACCAAATCAATAAACCCATCCCCCAGGGCTGCTCAGGATGCCCACAGGGAGAAAATCGGATGAATCCTCCTGACTTCTGAGCACATGTAGCCAGTAAGTACACATTTTAATCGGAATAAGCCACGCACAGAGTACTCACTGCGTGCAGAGCTGCTCAGAGAGCTTTGGGCACCTCCCAGACCATGCTGGTGCGGTCGTGCCTGTGTGCCCACGTGGGCATCCCCAGGAGTGAGCAGGGCGCAGAGCAGGCTCAGCGGGGGGTGAGTGAGGACCTAGCTGGCCTCGCAGTTGCAAAGCACAGGCGCACTTTCTAGTGCACTGGACCCAGGCTCGATTCAGCGGCCCTGAGCCGTTCAGCAGAGGAGTTAAACGCATCAGGCCTTGTTCGGTTCCTTCCAGGGTACCGGTGTTCTTGCTTATTAAATACCTTGCAACACATTGCTGGCTGGCTTCCTGCGACCAGGAAACAGCTCTGAGCCCCTGATCCTGAGGTGTCCGGGTTCGGTGATCCCGTGACAGTACCGATGCTGAGGGCAGGCGTACCAGTGGACTAGTTGAAAAACAAGAAAGGATAAAGTTGGTCCATTTTCCCAGGCGTACCACTCTCCCATGACACTTCCCAGACAGAATGCGCTCGGGTGTTTCTGTTAAAAGCCCCCTGCATAGACTGCGTCCACCCCTGCTGG